TATATATTAATTTCTTTAGGAGGTAAAGAGCAAAGGAATTAGAAGTATGGAGGGAGTTTGGAACAGAAGGAACTTCCAAACGTTGAAATGCGAGATGCTGGGAATCTTGTGTACAGAGAGGATATATAATGCCTGCAACTGTACTGGGGGCACGGTCAGGGTTAATACGACTTAATAATGAATTTGGATTTTGTGCTTATATGCAGATACTGTATTTGCAGGTGGCATATATATCCCTACCTAGAATTGGCTTGCTATACATCGTTGCTAAATACAAAATTTTCATTTCTTCTGTCTTCATATATCACGCATGCGTCTGAAATTCTTATTTCAACTAATTTAAATTTGATATGTGAAAGTTTTTTTTTTTTTAATAGCAAAATTCTCTCCCATAAATTTTTTTAATTACTGATACATGTCCATATTCGGGTTCAAACTCGGGATCAATTTTGAAATTATTTAATCATCATTAATAATGCATACTTGACATGCATATACATCTCTAGAATCTCTTTAATCGGCGGGAAAGTTTACTTGCCCATTATTCCCACAAAGTTTAGCCTCATCAGGGTTGAAGTGATCTTTAATTTGACATTGTTCAAGCTGCATTTCTAGTTTTTCTTCCATCTAGAGAGATATTCTTTCTGTCTAATAAAAGTAACATATTTGAGTTTTCAAAAAATCTCAACACTCATTATGAACTTTTTTTTTTGGGACAGACAGAGTAATGCATAATGTCGAGAATTATCTCCCACAATTGGAGTTGTGAATCGACAGATTTATAAAGTAATATAAACAAATCACTTAATAAATACCGCGGATTGAAACTTGTTTATTCAAAAATTAAACATTATTACTTCGACCTTCAATTTGATGTTTTCAGCCTAGACATATATAATGATTTGTACAGGGATACAGAGGGGAGGAGAAGTATTGATCAAGTGCAGCCAGAAAATTTGAGACCATCCAAATTTAGGGGCCTATACGTACATGGTTTTAGTTCCAAAACTCCAACTAGAACCCTAGTCTCAAATGAGTCATATGTAAATGTAGCCCACATAACCAAAGAAAATGAAAAACTATAAAAGTCGTGGGGAGGGGTTAGGTCGGCTACTAGAATCAAGAATCAAAAAGAGAAAAGCAATGCTGTGCTATGTGGTAAGGTGAAGCTATAGCTATATGCATGCATGATCGATGCATCATCATCTTGATGAATTGAAATATGAAAAATGCAATCTTAGAGGAATATTATCAATTTAGTGTGTGTGTGTGTGTGAGAAAAAAGAGACACACACATGCAGTAAAGGATTAGGACATAACAGTGACATACATTTACTTTATTTCTTTGCGCCCTTTCCTTTAATTTCTTCTGTCAAACTTTTTGCATTATTGGAGGCCACGCATTTATCATTGGCTTCCCGCACGTCTGCCCTTTTCTTCTTTCTTGGGATTAATCCATTTATTACTATTGCCTTCAGAGAGGGGGAGAGACTGACGATCATCAGTATGAGTGACTGTGGAAACATTCTGACATTTTTTTTTGTAATAATAATAATTAATAATAATAATTTTGCATATGCATGCATGCATGCACACATGAAACCGAAAATGACAGTACAAACTCACACAACAACTTTAGATTCTTCTTCTGATTCTATTAAGATATATCTTTCTTTGAATAAGATACCTTTTGTTATCTTCTCTTTTTGTTTTGTTTACAATATATATGATAACACCTCCCTTCTTGTATGTATATTGGCCAGATTTAATCATGCACATTTCCTGTGCTTCTGTTGTTTCTTAATTTCTGAAACCGATCCCTTTGACCTGTTTCCCCATATCCCACTGTTTTTTCCATCCCTTCTGTTCTCTTTAGTCTTTAGCAAAAGGGCTTGATGATTGAGATGATGATGATGATGGCCTGAATATGTAATTTTGGTGATGGTGATAGTATATTGTAGATGGCAGAGAGGACTGTTTTAATTTGGGGCCACTTTCATATTGTCATTTATTTCCTTACTTTTTGTGGGTATCTAATTAACATTGGCATCTTGCTTATAAGGCATCATTAATATGTGGTTTTCTCTTACTCCAGTCCCATATCCATTTATTGAACCTTTTGCATCATCATATTAATTTGGAGACACACATATTTAGTATAAACTAATAAAGGTTAAACAATCATTTTGAGACAGATAGATATTAAAATCGCACTATACAACTACTGAGCACCCTTTTTGAGGGAGATTGATCTATGTGGGAAGTGTGTAAAATGGATTAAGGATATCCTCTCATCTGTGGCTTTCTCTCTTGAGTCCATCAAGAATTAGTAAGAACATCAATTAATAAGAATAAGATATGGTAAACTGTCCCTAGGGTCATGGAAGCAGATGATGATCTCAAGAAAACCAAATGATACAACTTTGGTTGGTTTCTTTTCTGGGCAAAGAAACAAAAAGCAAATGATTAAAAACAAAGAAGAAGTTGAGAGCCACAGTGTGTACTATATATGAATTCCATTTCCAGCTCTCTGCTGAAGAGCTAAGCTGAATCAAGAACTTGACTTTCTATCTGGTTGGGGTTTTGGAACCCCAAATAATCCAAAGGACCACTGGTGTCAGTGGGGGGGCAAACAAGATAAAAATAAAAATACTCACTTGTACTGTATGCATATATGGTCCTTATTGTTTCCTCAGAAATGTTAGATAACCTCATTCATCATCTCACTTTTTATCTTAAAAAAAAAATCAGAAAAAGAAAAACCCTAGCTATATCTAGCTAAAGCTAGGCCTGCTGGTTTGTAACAGTTTTTGAAAACAGTAAATTTCTTGGTTGTTTGGATGTCAAGATTATTCTTTCTCTAGGTTCTTTGGTAGTTAAGGTATTTAGGGATCACCAAAATGAGTCATTTTACTGATCAGAAAAGGATGCCATATAACTCCAGATCAACCAAACAATATTCATTATTCATATACAGTATTATGGTTGTGTAAGATCTTTGCAGAAAAAAGAGGAGAGAAGGGTACTGTTGTCTTGGATCTGGGGTCCCTTTATTGCTGCCTCAGTTTTACATACCCTACAAACAATGTTGACAGTTTGAATCTTCTCGTGATGTCCACCACAAGAGACACAGTACCAATTAGTTATAGCACGGATTGTAGGGTTTCCAAAGGGCCAGATTATGGAAACAAGGGATATATATAGCATTAATACTGCATAAAGAATTGGTCTTGAATACATTTATATATTCCCTAGCTCCGTCCCATTTTAATAGTCGTCCATTTTGTTGTAATGGAGCGGAGGGAGTACAAAAAAATTTTCTTGGACTAGCTATAACTTGGTGGAAAGAAATTTATGCATTAGCAGTTTGGTTAATTATTGCAGTTGGCTCGAAATGTGTAGGTAGCATTAGTCTTGCTTTAGCTGCAGCCCTCAGTTTTGTTCCTACAAAGGTTAAGCAGTATGCAAATTATTTTTGAAATCTTCATTTCTTTTGTTTTGAATTCAACTAATATACTTCAACAATCTACTTTGGATGGACAGTAATATATATATATATATATATATATATATGTATGTATACTAGCAGGGAGTTAAATATTACTTGCAGTCATCAGTTATATAAAGGGTTGCATGGCACTGCTGCTACTTTAAGTTGTAATTGTTGCTGTCATTTCTGACTTCTGATTTTGAATTAATGAATGGGTATAAAGCAAATGGAATTTAAAGTAGTTCTGAAACTTCTGACTTTTGAACTTGAATTATCAACTGTTTGGTTTCATAACTTTAGTTCCCTCTTTAGCAAACACAGCACAAACCCTCATGTATAGAAATAGGCAGTTGATTTTTCCTTGAAGCATCTTCAAATGGATACATACACTTCACTATATTAGAGAGAAAGAGATATAAAACTAAGAAAATTAACCTTAAAATAATTCAATGAATTAGGCTACATTGATTAAGGAAATTAAGAATAAGATCCAAAAGAGCAAAAAATGGGGAAAAAAAAAAAGTCCTATATACTACATCTTTGGCTTCATGAAAATCTTACTTATAAGCTGCAAAAGTGGTCCAATTTGTACTAAGTGTAAGCTTTAAAGAACCTACAATTGGTCCATCCTCTATGAGATAGAGAGAAGTAGATGATGCCAATAATCTCTTCCAGCTAATGCACTGCTAAGATCACCCCTTAAAACCCCTTTGCAGCCACAATCTGTATCACAACTTTTCAGTAGAATTCTTACCCTTTTAATTATGGCTTCATAAGAAATTTTCCAGTCAGAATGAAAAATAATGTGTGTGTGTGTGTGTGCGTATTTATCAGGAAAACTGCATAAAAATTTGCTGATCTTGTTAATTTATACATGGAGTTACATACATACACATACACATACACCAAGCTAGGGCATGCAACCTGCATTTTGTGCCCATAAATTAATTACCACATACTAAAAGCAATAAAGCATTAAATCTAGCTTCTCCATGAGGTGGAAATTTATATAGCTAGATTGGTCCCTCTCTTGGGGTAAACGGTTTACCTTTAGATTTGATTCCTCTTTGAAGTATGACTATCAACATACAAGAATGTGAACTCAAGGGATGACTCTCCATATATTTCAAGTCCTCAACTTTTTGTCATTGTTCTCCTTTTTTTAAAAACAGTTGAATTTTCAGTACATATATTTCTGAAAAGAATAATGATAGGAGAAGCAGATTAAGACATAAGTTTCATTCATGACGCGGCGATTTATAAAGATCGGTGATTTTATCCTTTCATTTCACGAGCTTAATTCACTCTCTCTATCGTCATACTCTTCTAAGAATAAATACTTTTAAAAATACTCGATTAATTAATCGTACATGAGGTCAACGACGTGTCGCCATATATGGATGCCACATGGTTGCTGTTGTGCCATACCTTTTTCTTTACCTTTACTATGCAACATGGCATGGTAAGATTCTAGTTAGAGTCTTAATTTCCTTCTTTACCTGAATTAAAACTTCATTTTCCATCCTTTGGAAGTACTTATTCTCTTTGCATAACATATTTCAGCTGATTTGGCTGTGGCAACTATCTTGTGCTTCTCAGGAGATAGCAATGTCATAATACAAGGGGCTCTCCATCATTCTTCTTTCACCAATTAAGAAGATCAAGCTGATGATGATCTTCAACTGCAACACCAAACTAGTGTGAGTTTCATCTGATTGATGATTTTAGTTTTTCATTTGCAGATCTGCAAAGTGTACACAAGTAACCATCTACTTCCACTACTCTTTCCTTCTTCCATAGTTCTAATAAGTTCTTCACGATCATCCTCAACTGGCCTTTTGGGATTATATTATACGATTCTTCCAAAACTTTTCAAACATTGTATGTTCTCGCTTGGGAACCCTAACTAATTAACCAACCAAATTTAAAGATTCCTTGGATGGAAAGGCTAATGGTTTGTCATGTTGAATATATTGACTGTTTAGGATGTTTTGTTTATACATATGCATGTATCAAGCTGCCTTGAAGACATTCATATTTGGAATGGATTTGCTTAAAGAAGGCAAAGAATCTAGCAGTATATATATAAGGGAGCAATTTCTGCTAAAGTTTCTGGTTATATTCCCAGAAATGATGGAGATTGATGATCTCTTGATTTGCTCATTTTCTTAGAAAATAGAGGAAAACCCGTTTTACCTGCAGTTTGATTTGTTTCTTGCAGGAGATTATGATCATGAAGAAGTTCATAACTAGCTCATGATCATGAATTCAAAGGGAAAAATTTCAGAAACAAAGCAAGAAGGAGAGGATGGCGCAAAGTACTCCAGGACTAATACAAATGCATCTTCTTCTACAACTTCATCTTCTAGACAATGGGGAGGCTTCCGGAATCCAAGAATAGTTCGGGTTTCGCGCACGTTTGGAGGGAAAGATAGGCATAGCAAGGTGTGCACAGTTAGGGGATTGAGAGACAGGAGGATTAGGCTTTCAGTTCCAACAGCAATTCAACTGTATGATCTTCAAGATAGGCTTGGGCTCAGTCAACCAAGCAAGGTCGTAGATTGGTTGCTTGATGCTACCAAAACCGACATAGACAAACTTCCACCTCTCCAAATCCCTCCAGGAATTGGAAACTTCTCCCCTTTCCACCAGGCAATGGCACTGGCTGCTCAGCCAAGTCACCTCCCTTCTTTCTTCAGTAATGATCAAACATTGTTGATGGATAGATCAAAGTATCACTGGGATCCGGATGCATCACCCTCATCAGATCGAAAAGAAGCCGAATTAAGAGAAGCTCATGCTCATCATCATGCTGTTGGTGGTGGAAAGGATAAGTGGATTATGAATGCATCAAATGATCATCAACATCATGAAAGCCAAGGACAAGGAGGAGGACTGGAATTAGGTACTAATCAAGTACTCACAGCTCAAAACTTCTTCCCAATAGGCCTGAATCAATCTTCTTTCCCTACTTTGTTAAACAACAATAATCCCACATTTCCATTCAATCCATTTTACCATTGGGAACCAGCAGCTTCTTCAAACCTGTCTTTATCTCACCAAATAGGAAGCCATTCAAATGATCATGTTCCAATGCAAACAGATGACTCCAACAACAGTACAACTAATAATAGTAACTCCATGACTTTGGCTTCTTCTTCTTCAATAGCTGCTGCTGGTACTTCTCATCATCATCATCAACTCTATTTACCAACCATCAATCTTCCTACATTACCTACATACATGGCGGCAACTGCTGCTGCGCCGGCGGTAGAGCTTAATGATCCAAGACAAGTTAACCACTTCCAATTCTTGGCTGGCTCAACCCAACCAAATTCTCACCTCAACTTGCCAACACTCCATCTCATCAGTTCTCCTTTAAAATCCCTCAGCTTGAATGTTAATCACTCCCAAGAGAACAACAACAATGATGACCATCCCAACAAAGGACGACGAAACAGCTGAAATATGGTGCATTCTCTTCTTTTTTTTGGAAGATAAAAACCATGCATGTGATCAATCGTCAGCTCAGACTTTGGAAGAATTAAGGTTTGCTTTCGTTTCTTCAACACATATGAGATATTTTGAAAGGGTACTTTCCAAGGTTCCAAAGGTATGCCAAAGATTTATATATAGAGGATGGATTGAATAGATTATAGTATGTATATGACCCACAAAGACATTTCTACATATATATATGTTGTATGTTTCATAGGATTCATCATATATACATATATTGTGCTACAAAGTGTCATTCATATAGCTCTAAGAGAAAAGGGGGTTATTCACTGGCAAGGCTGACTCCTTTTTGTTTTTAATCTTACCATATATTCCGACAGCATTCAGCATTGTCTTTTTAAAAAAAAAAAAAAATAGGAGAAGAAAAATGTTTTCTTGAGAAGAATTTCCAAATCCTTGAAAAGAGCAAAGGATGAAACATGTTAATTTTGAGTCTCTACATAAATGAAGGGCAGTTATCTTACCAACGTTTGTTAAGAGCTGTGATTGATCATTACACACTTAAAACGGTTGTTTTAGTAACTTTATTAATAACCTGATGAAGATAACATTTGTAGAGTTATGTAATTGATTCCTCTATGTATAATATTAGAAATCAACAAGTATCTGTTGGAAGTGTGAAGAAGCAAATAGCGAGATCAGAAAAATCTAATACCAAATTTTGAGGTTCATAAATAAAGTGAGATGATATCTTTTAAAAGATGTTTAGAATTTGAATGAAGTTGATATTTCCTCTGCTATGAAATGATTGTCTAGTTTGAACAATCATTTGTATTTCGATACAGAGAAGTACTCCAAAAGCCAAAGCCTAAAATGACTTTCTCTTTGTATATTTCTCTTTTTGAGTAGTGATGCATGGAGGGAAAACTTATCGGAGATGATGTGTTAATCATCAAAACTATGTACTAATCTTAAATGGTTAAACTTCAAATAGGAAGTGTTAAAAATGAATGTTTATAATTAATTCCCTGTAAAAATTCTCTTTAAATTTCTCCTGCACAAATTATTATTCCTTTTCTTTTTTCCTCTCACATATAGAACAAAGTACCTGAGAAAAATTGTATATAATCCTTCGGTTTAAAAAAAAAAATTATATGTATTCAACGTGGATAATATAATAATCATAAATTCATTTTCAATTAGTGACTGAGGGAGTACCAGATATATATATATATTTACGGTTTTTCTTTTATGTATCAGGAACATACAATAAAACATCTATAAAATAATATTGTTGGGACACTAAAAATTATTAATTTATAGATGTATTAATTTACCGCTAGTTATAATATCTTTAGAGATATTATAGATAGTGTCACTAAAAGTTGACTTAAAATGAAAATGATGATGATTAAGTATATTCGAAACTAATCGCACAAAAAGAAATACTTAATTCAGTAATCACTTTTCAAAATTTTTTTGGCTATATGAGAAATCTACGTACACAAAAACTTTGCAAGCAATGAAAAAAAATCAAAGATGAAATATTTTTAGTCTTAATTACTACAAAAAAAACATACATCACTATGTTCATACTTTACTAGTTCCTAGTTATATATACATATATATATGTATATATGTTATATCTCAAGTCATTATTAATTTATAATATTGATGAGACTTATGTCTATATAGGAGGTTTCTAAAAAATTATTATTTTATTATCTTAGAGATTATCTTTGTTTTTTGTATTGGTCCCGACATAGGACCGGAGAAAATTATTAATTTGTAGATGTTATTAATATATCTATATTAATTTATAGATTCTTTACTATAAATCACATACTAAATTTGGTAATCCACGTATTGACCCCTATCTTTCTTCCGATGTGTTTAATTAATAAATTGAACTGCATTTTTCCAGTAAAATTTTAAAATAAATAAAACTATAAAGAATGAGGATCTAGGTAAATATAATATGTGGAAAATCCTTTTTTTCCTGATAATTAGAAATGGTATTCCATTAACTAGCACTTAAAATACGCTTCGAAGATACGGGGGTGGCCAGCCGGTGCGGCAGCAACCCTCCGCTTTTAATTTTTTTTAATAATTATCATATAATTGTTAGGTAGAAAATCAAATTGGGTCATTTTCGCACCCCCTTTAAAGAAATTATAAGAACTTTGTAAAAAAAAAAAAAGATTGTGACTTTCCTATTTTTGTAAATGGTAATTACGTAAACTCCATTAAAAATAACAAAAACAATGTAAGTCAAGGCCCAAATCAAACATTTGAGATAAGCTAAGATTCAACACAAAATAAAAGTCCAAAGGTTTATAACAAAAATTTAACAGAAAACATAAAATGGTTTAATATATTCATTAAATTCTTGTTTGTTCAAAACAGAAAAACAATCCATTAAATGGTTTAATAGAAGTATTTTTTTAATTTTCTTATTATATATCAAATTTGTCTAATTTATATATATTTTTTAAAAATATATTAAATACATCTTAAAGATAAATTCAAATTCCATAGGCCGCAATCTTACGACATCAAGTTGCAAAATGTGTAAAAGTGGTTTGAAATAATTTTTAAGAGATTAATTTTGTTTGGTAAAAGATTTTTAATGAGGAAACAAAAATGTATTGTAGCATATATTTATTTTAGCACTAAATATTTATTTTCAGTGTATTTAGTATTCTTGCTATGAAAATTTTTATTTTGCACCCTAATCCAAAATCCTGACTCCGCCACTGGAAGATATATTTAAGCAACATTTTCATAACTTTTCTTTTGGGGTTTGTTTTTTTTTTGTTTCTTCCGTAAACTTGTAAGTTGTAATGATTGTCATTGAGGTGCTGGTCATAATTTTACATTTTCTTAGACAAAAATTAATCATGAATCAAAGGCCATACTAATAAAAGCCTTTAAATTCATTCCAAATACCAATTAATCCCAACTAATCTTAAGAGCCTGTAAAATTAAGATTTGAATGTATATATGTTGTTATTATTATTTATTTTCGTTTCATAACCAAAGATCAATCCCGATATTGTTAAGATGGGGTCTTTAGTATATAAACTTTTAAGGATTTTAATTATAAACGCAAAAAAAAAAGGCTAGTTACTTTCTTAATAGTTCGAATACATGTACATGTTTCTTGAATTAAAAGCTTCTAAAAGTATTTGTCAATTTACTATTTAAATAAACATTATTCTACAAGAATCTTGGATAATGTATCGTTATAGGTAAGACTTTTTTATAATTCCATACAACGTCAAGTCACAGCTAGGAATACACATACGTCATACTTTAAAATGTTTATAATGAAAAAAAAAAAGAAAAAAAAAAGGAAAGTAAATCATGCATGCTACAATCATTATAGTAGTACAATATTTTCAGCAAAACCTCGACATATAACTCCAGTTTCATGTATTATTAGTTAGTTACATAAATAAATCTAAAACGTAATTAACTTACGAAAAATTAAGTGCATGATGGATATACAGTAGTTTTGGAAGAAGATGGAAGAGATAATAGATAAACCTAGATACTCCCTCCGTCCCATAATTATTGTCCAGTTTTACTAAAATGAAAGATTTTATTTTTGGTCAAATTTAACTATATTTTACCTTAAACAACCGGATATACCCCTATATAAGTAATTATTTAACCACTAAGATTTTATGGATAATGTTTTTTACTAAGGACAAATGTGTAACTTGATCCATAAGAAGTCAAATTGGACAATAATTTTGGGACAAAATTTTTTGGGCAAAGTGGACAATAATTATGGGACGGAGGGAGTACATAAGTTCTCATTTTTCTTTTAAAAAAAAAAAAAAAGACCAGCATTAATTCAGCAAGAAATCGATTAAACAAAAGGATGAAATGTATGAACTTATTTCTTAAAATTCGATGAATATTTTAGGGAGAATGAAATGTATTTACAGTGTAGTTGTCATGTTGGGTGTTGCATGTTGATGATTAATGTTGCTTGTGGTCCGCCCCTTTAATTTTCTCAGCGTGCGGGGAGTGGGTGGAGGGGAGGTATAATAATAGGCATCATATTTAGACAAGGGACCATATATAATATTATATCAATATTTTATGGAAATGTGAATATTGAGTTAGAGGGGTACATATATATACATACATATTACACAACCTTTTAACTTTTAACTTCATAATATAATTAAGTTGTGATTAAAAAAAAAAATATTAATCTTTCTTAAGCCATCAATCAAAGATTGGTGAGACTTCGAGTGGCGCTCCTAAATAAGATCATTTCTACATCAATATATTCGTTCTGGTCCTTAATATAAGATACTTTGATTTGTCTTAGATTTAACCTACTATGTATTTTTGATTGAAAAAAAACCTTAAAAATATTTCATAACAGTCAAGAAAATATAAAGAATGTGAAAATATATTTTTAAAATTTTTTCTTCAATTAAAGATGCATATTAGGTAAAAGCTAAAACAATCAAAATGGCTTATATTAAGAATCAGAAGGAGTATATAAGAATAAAAAATTTGTAAACAAACTCAGTCGAGTTCTAGCTGAAGGAAAATTACCACATAGATATTCTACTATCACGGCTTCCTAATGAGTGAGATTCCACACGGTTTTGCACTGTCTCAATTAAGTCAAACATAATTATTTAGACTAAATTAAATCATAAAGAATAGTCTTACACACTACAGTAGAACCTTGCTAAATTAATATTTAAAAAAAAAACCCAACAAACCCCACTTAAATGTGAAAACCCCCCCCCCAATTTCCCCTTAAAAATCTCTGGGAATCAAACGAATGTATAATCTCCGGAAGTATAAAATTCTAATTACCATTAAGCTGTTATTTAATTCTCAAATTAATAATAATTATAAATTAATAGTTTTTTTTCTTTCCAACTTGAAACCATTACAGAAAGTGATAAAATTAATAACATGATAAGATAACAATGTTTCAGATTATTTTATATATCTATAGGCCATAAAAGTACTATAAATTAATAATTAGCCAAAATTAAAATAAAAATAATAATACCTATAATTATTTAGTAAGATATGAACTATTAATATTTATTTTTTTAGTCCTTGAAGAATATGTAAACTATGTATAGATTTTAGTATTGCGAAAATTTTCAATATCCGATTAATTCATATGGTAAAGATGGTACTCTATTCTGACATAGTTGTCGTAGGAGGAAAAACTAACTTTTCTAAAACAAACGTTATTCTCACAAATCGATATATGTTTTGTCAATTTTTTAATATTATCCTTACAATAGAAATTGTTGTTGTTTTCCTAATGTATAATTGTATTAGAACAAAATGTTATCAGGACCTTGTATTGAATTTGAGATTAAATAAGGGTAACTATGATATTTTAATAATGTAATTTTTGTCTTCTTAAATTTTGTAAAATCTCTTCAGCGAAATATAATTCAGAATAGAAGGAGCAAAAAATCACGTAATGTAAGGATTTTCTCTTTAAATTAATAATTTATTAATTTATCGATTATTTAATAAATAATAAATTAACAAATTTTGGTGTTCCCAACACTATTAATAAAGTTTTACTGAACATATTAGTACAAAATATTGCAGTGTCATTACAATCTTTTTTCCCCCGAAGGTTTTTGAAGTTTACCATATAAACTTTTTCATCACTAATAAAATAAACTAAACTACATAGACCTAGGTTTTTAATAGAACGCCGTGACACGGATCTGGTCATTCCAACATTGCACAACAACCTTATTTCTACACAAGGAGATCAAGAGCCAGACGATACTTAGTTACACATCGAGGAAAAAGGCGTTGGAGTTGAAGATCACCTAAACATGAGCTCTAGTTATCGAAATGGGTGGATTTCATTTCCTTCATCACCCTCACGGTCAACCTTTCATGTGTCAGTTTTTTCAATATTACCCTTATATTGGATTTATCACTTCGAAATTCCTATTAAAATTGAATCTATATAGGAATAGCTATGTTTGAGCATCAATGATTGCTATATTGGTTTACTAACTCCGTTTTTTTTTTCTGCCGTTTTAGGGTTTTTTTATCTGTCGTTTTAGGGTGAACCCAAAGTGTTTTTTTATCTGTCGTACTTCATTTTTAATACAGCATTAAATACGATTTTTCCAATTTTACCATTATCTCTCTCTATTTTAATAACATATATTAATGACAACTACCTACTTTTTACTTCAATTTCATATTTTTTTAGAGTTTCAATACTTTTGATTAAGAGCAAAAAAGATAATACCCTTATAAACTAAATTATCAATCATTATTTTCTTAATAGTTGTGCTAACCCTAAAACGACATATTAAAAAAAAAAATAGAGGCAGTATTAATAAGTTTTTATTGTATCACATGGCGGGGGATTTCTATTGCTGAACTCTTTAACTTTCATTTCCGGACCCGCTATGTGTTTCATATATTTGCTCAAATTAATTCCTCATTCTAGAAGTTACAAATCCCCATACTCATGGGCCAATCTTTCTACAACAAATCCAAACTTCATTAAACTTTGGAAAAATGAAAATACGATAAAAATGATGCTCCTTCTGTCTTCAAATTATAGTCTAGTTTGCATTTTCAGTTGTAATATAATTTGAACTAAAAATGAAAATCTAAACTGGACAATAATTTCAAGATGCAAGAAGTATACGAACCTGTAGTTCATTCCTCGATCAAATAAAAGTGTAAAGTTTGAACTATTGTGAACTAGTATAATAATCTTGACATGATATCATTAAGGGCTAAAACTATATTGTCATAGCATTCCCATACAACAGCCACATTCTCATTAGATTCAGCAGCATAATCTAGCTTAGTGACATTGTTGAATAGCTTTGTATACATTCTCCTCAACTCAGCCCTCTCACTCCCTGGCTTAGCTTGAATCATTGTATACATATCTTGTTTCAGTTCTGCCGAGCTTTTCCTCAGTGTCTTCTGTGCCGCTTTCCACGACCCTTCTTCCAACAAGTCCTTCACTCGTAGTAGACTCCGGGCGTGGCCTCTGATCCCACCCTCGGCCTGTTCTAGTGTTTGATTCGGTGCTGTGAGTCCAAAATCAAGGGCATTCGCGGGTTTTCCAATGAAGGTAGCTTCCATCACTAATGTAGTGATTAGAGCAGCCAAAGTGGCGTTTGTTGTAGCTCTTCTCGTGGTCATATGGCATTGGACAATGATACTCTTAGCTATTGACTTTGTCCTTTGTTGGAAAAAGTGCCTAGAATGGAAAGTAGAGGTTGGAAAATAAGACAAAGGAACTTGCGCCGCCATATACCTAAAGAGTAGTACTCGTATATCTCTTCTACATTAACTGCAGCCTGTAATGGTGAAGATAACTTAAACCAGGCCAAGACAGGAGAATTCAAAATAACTAGAGAAACAAATGAAAGGAAGTTACAGCTCAAATCTCTCTCTTGCACAAAGAGAAGAAGTACATTTCACAAAGAGAAGAATTTCTGGCAGGCTTTAGATGTTTCATAAAGATCATAATAACTTGGTCTGAAATCCTAATCCCAGAACTGTTTGCTGGGGATACAGAGTTCACATTGAAAAAAAAAAAAGGAAAAAGAAAAAGAAAAGGAGCACAATGAGGAATCCGAGTTATTTTAATACATGTCCGAATACAAGAGTTATATGAATAACATCAAAGGCATATAAGCATTGAAAAAGCAGCAGGTCAGTTTCAGTCAGAAGTGTAACAACACACACTGTCAAGAAGACCATTGAGACAATTCCAAATTCAAAGCAATGCAACTTCTCCGTTTGCTGTTGATTTTTAATGCAAGATAATCGCACACATAATGCAAGCTTGCATATTTACCAGCAGGTTACTGCTCATTAGCCGAGATTAATATTTTCCTTTTCAATTCATCAAAAAGCATCAATCCAGAAGCATTTTATAAGTGTAAGAACAAACCAAATGATAACGCGGCAATCAAACAAGTCCAAAAGGAAAAGCTCATCGAGACAATTCCAAACAATGCAATCTCTCTGTTTATAATTTGAAATATTAGATCAAGAATAAAGAATAACATAAGCTAAAATGGAAATGCGAAGGCTTTCACACAGACAAAAAGCCGCAGATTAACATAACAAAGTATGTCAACAAGATTGATATCTTTCTTAAATTTAGAGAAATTATCAATTTTCAATCCAACAATCATGCTTCCACAGTTTGCATCCATAACTCTGATCCTAAACCATCTCTTGAGAAAGCTTCAGAGTCCAAAAATTGATGCATCAGTGTTTGAACTAGTTTACCAATGTTCCAAAAAGAAAATCCATCAATTAAAACCTAACCTCGGTTAGCAAGAACCATCATAGCCTTTCTACTTGTATCTATCATCCAGTCCAAAAGCACAAACTCACATTTACATAATCAGGAAGAAACCCAACATTTGCAATTCAAACTGTTCAATAAATGGTATTTGTTTACACCCCAGAAAAACAAAAATAAAAATAAAATAAAATAAAAGTTCTTACATTTTATCCACCATCCAGAGAGTGAAAACCGAATGTATATTTGGACTTTGGACCAGAAAATTACAAATCTCGATTCACCAAAAAAGTATGTAATAAAGTTGTATCAGGCAAAGCATATTCATGTCATATAGGCAAAATCCAGCCATAAAGATCAAAACTTTATATCTTAATTGCGACAATGTCCGGTCGGAATGCAGAAAAATTCAATTTGAAAAGTGAAATGAAAATCTGAATCACTCGAACACAAAAGCAACTAAATGAAGACCAAGATAAGATATACCTGAAATGCAAAGATATTTGCTGGGAGCTAATACGCCATTTTCGTCCCTTTTGGATAATAAGTTTACTGAAACACTCCAGAAGTGACAGAGGCGGATATTCTTTTTTGGTTTGAGGAGGAAAGATTAAAAATAAAAAATGGGTTTTGATTTTGAAAGAGAAAAAGCTCCCGGCGAGGATCGAACTCGCGACCTTTCGCTTACGAAGCGAACGCACTACCACTATGCTACGGAAGCATCAGCTGCCAGTTACTCGTAAATATATATAATTAAATCTATTATTCTTTTTGCACTTTTTGACGTGGAGCTTTGGAATCAATTCGAAACTGCTTCCACCGTTCATGCAATAAATGTGGTAACCATGAATCGTCTCCAACATTCCCACAACACAAAAACCCTGAAAGGAAAGAACTAGAAATCAGTGATGGAATCGATTAATGTTCACAAATGATGAATTTGATGATACGTTTATATTCACTTTCAATTTTCATGTTATAGCATGTTGTTTGTTACATATGAAACGAAATAGATTGGTTCGGGTCACAATTTGTCACCCCTTTTTAGTAAGCACTAGCTAGTGCGAGTGACCATGGAATCACCCCCTGCAGAATCACCCCTTTCTTCCAAAAACCAAAATTCTGATCAACATGCAGATGCTGCAATTCGTTATCTTTACATTGGTCACTTCTTATCAAGATGGGGTACCAGGATGTGGGAATTTTCTGTAGCACTCTACATGATCAATCTCTGGCCTGATTCTCTGTTCCTTGCTGCAGTTTATGGTATGGTGGACTCTGCCTCCATTGCTCTGTTTGGCCCTTTAATTGGGAGTTGGGTTGACTACTACCCTTATCTTATAGTTGTTAAGGTTTGGTTATTTGCCCAAAATCTCTCCTTTTTGATTGCTGGAGGGGCTGTCATTGCATTGCTTCTGGCCCTGCATGATGATGGAAAAGTTGGAGAAGGAAAAAAGATGGCATTTTTATTGATGGTTTTTGTGATTAACGTTTCTGGTGCTGTTGGGGTGCTGTCCACTCTTGCTGGCACTATCCTGGTTGAGAGGGAATGGGTGGTTGTGATATCCCAAACTCATAGTGAAGAATTTCTGACAAGGATGAATTCAGTGATCAGGAGGATTGATTTGTTTTGTAAGTTGGGAGCTCCTGTAGTCTCAGGATTCATCATCAGTTTTGCTTCTTTGATTGCTTCAGCTTTGAGTTTAGCCCTTTGGAATGTTTTATCTGTTTGCTTGCAGTATTGGCTTTTCATGTCTGTGTATTATGGTATTCCAGCTTTAAGCGAAACCTGCAGCCGAAAAAGGGCTATAAAAAAATCATCAACAGAAGACATCGAAATGATCCCCTTGAATCATTCTGAAGAAGAATGTGATAAAGGTTATGAGTTGAAATGTACTAATTTGTTGAGGAAATTAATGAGGATTTCATGTGTAAGTGCATGGAAGGTTTACTTGAAGCAAGATGTGGTTCTCTCAGGTGTTTCTCTTGCTTTGCTATACTTCAATGTTCTGAGTTTTGGAACACTAATGACTGCTGCTTTAGAATGGGAGAGAATCCCAGTTTACATCATTGGGATTGGGCGCGGTATCAGTGCTATAATAGGCATTCTCGCAACCTTCTTGTATCCGATTCTGGAATCTCGGCTCTCTAGTTCAGTTCCTGCTGGTTTCTCGTCTGTTTGGTCTCAGTGGACCTGCCTTTTGATATGTGCAGCTTCTATTTGGATCCCGGATAGGTTTGCTTCGGCATGTACTCTAATGGGAGGTGTGGCGCTATCGAGACTTGGACTTTGGATGTTTGATTTGTCAGTCATTCAGCAAATGCAGGATCAAGTACCTGAATCCGAGCGCTGTGTAGTTGGAGGTGTTCAGAACTCTCTGCAGTCTATTTTTGACCTAATAACTTATGTCATGGGTATGATCATATCTGATCCAAAGGATTTCTGGAAGCTGATACTCATATCCTTGCTGGTGGTAACTCATGCAGCTGCATTGTACAGTTTACATGTCTATCGCGAACGCGCAGGAAAAAACACTCTTTGGTTCGATCCCACTAAGACATGTGCATATCAATTGGTTCCAGTTGCTCAACATCAATCATCTTAGTTCTGAACTTCTGAAGTGCTCCAAGCTAGGTACATTCATAGTACTGCATTGGCATTAATTGAGTTACTAAATCAAGATTTTTATATAATGATGGATTTTCATCCAGAAAGGACTAGAGAGGAATAGGGAGGATTTGTTTTTTATTGACTGAATAGATATAGATTAGACAATGCAAACATTCTGGAAGAGCAAATATCACCGGGATTTTTTTGATGCTGTCTGGAAAAGTAATCCTTCAATTTCTCTTAATGGGAAATGACTGAAAAGAGAAAAACTGGCCACATCCCATGTAGCTGCTTCAGCTTCTGCTCCAGGTCCAGCCACACGAATTTTCCGTATTCCTAGGCCAAAGACTATTTCACAGAAAGTTGACCGGGGAATCCCGTTAATAACTGGACATTCTGATTCTGTGTAATATCCTGATGAATTTAGAAGACCTCTTGCGGGGGGTCTAACTATATAGAGTCACATGTGGAGTGAGAAAGGCTTCTGTAGCTTTAGCAGGGTTTGAAAAAGGGAATTTTAACTGAGGTCAGTGGTAGCAAATATGAAAGCTATATATATATACTCTGGAGAAGTACCGGATCTACTGGGAAAAGGCCCTTCCTTGCTGGTAGCGGATTCAAAGAGTGTGCTTACAGAATAAGGAGCTTGAGGACTTTCAACTTCATTGGGTCTCTAGTTCTTTTCCTATCTGTTTTTCCATTATGTGTACAGGAAGAGGAAGTCTTCATTGTGTAGCTTGACATGTTTGTTTAGAATAAGAGAATCTGTGGTCAAAGTGCGCATTCTGCAACGCTTCACTTCATGCAGAATTCAGTGAAATCGTCCGAATCCTGCTAAGTATCTTTCAGTCATGTACTAAGAACTATCTAGATGACTACTGCATTAAACTTAAGAGTTGTACAAGATGAGAATGTTGCCATTGATTTCTATGTTTACATTTAAACTAGTAGATCTTGCATAGTTTGCTTGATGCAATAATGCTTACAAGGGATCTCTGCATTTAGGACGAACTGTGTACTACGAAGTAACGTCAAGTTATATGGATATAGTTTGGCAATATAGCAGATTCCTTTACAAAGCAACTCAATTATGATGTTCAAGTCAAAAATAGATGCAATTTATCTCACCATGCACAAAAAAAGAAGACTGGAGAGTGTGCTCTTACTTTGAAAACAGTTGTCTACGCCTAAGTGTTCTATTTTTTATACTGGCTGCCTCTCCAATGACAACTTCACTGATTAAGTCCTTAAAGATTAAGCGCTCGACATCCAGGACCATGCTTGAGGTCTCGTTGTCAGAAGTTGTCCAATTATCTGATCGAAGCATCACATCCTCCCACAGTACCTTTTTCATCTCATCGTTTCCTTCCTCCTCTGAACTACATTCTGACGGCTTCTTAGCTTGAAGCATTTCAATTTCCGAGCAGAGCTCCCTAAGAAGTTTCTGGGCATTGAGTGTCTTTTTCACCAGTTTGCAAGGCTGCCTCAACCAAGGACCGGAAGAGGGTTTAAATACTGCCAACTTCTTGGCTAGAATTTCATTGATGCTGTCGAAAATGAGCTTTCTGTGAGTTCTCTCTTTTGTGCTCAACTGGATAGGCTTTTCAGGAGCAGATTCTTCCTTTAAACCTGTGCTTTTACCCTTGGTCTGTTCCAAGACCAAAAATAACTCAGGGTTGATAGGGTGACCTGATGGATGGAACTGGAAATTTTCAAGGCTTGAGCCCAGATCCCTAAGGAGAAGACCTGAAGCTAATAAGATCTCGGAAATGTATCTGTGGTCTGGGTTTGTGTTCTCACAAAGAGAGGCGATATAATCTGTGCGGGCTTCATCGTGGCTTGAGTTTAATCTTCTCAGCTTCTGAACTAGGTTTTCAATGTTCTGTAACTTCTTCCTGCTAATTTCAGATGAAGGAGAAGATCCAACTGCATCAAACATTCCATGCTCTGATGAATCGTTTTGCTCCCTAAGTGATACAATATCATGCTCCTCCAATCCATTACCTGTTGAAAACAATGAAATTTCAATCTCTTTAGTCACAGTTTACTGAAAACCACGTCAAGGTAATGCATATGTGAACAGATGTATTATCTTGAGGAGTAGGATCAGTTCTCCAGTACTACCTAGCCTATATCCCACTATTTGGAGTCATTATAACCAAAAATATGTCATGCTGAAGGAGTCCATCTCCTTGACCACTTACTACATGAAAATGGAGTTTTACCTCGGATGGCCTTCTTCTTTGTGCTTTTCACAGGTGAGGGTGAACCATCCATGTCAATAGCACCATCAAGAACTGAAACAGGACTAGGATATTCGGGTGCAACAATTAAATGTTCCATCACGGACTCTTCTTCTTCTTCTTTTGACAGTAATTTCGAATTCTAGAATAAGCCAAAAACCAGTAAACATGCCATCAATAACAAATTAACTGAAGGTGCAAGCTGCAAACAAATATAAACATGAGAGAACCTACCCTCAAGATTGCATTTTGACTGCTAGCCATCATCTCAGGAGATTCTTGAGAGCTGGTGACTTCTAAATCTATTCTTGAATCTGATAAGACACTTCCATCTGATTGAGCCGAAGTTTCATTCTCAAGGTAGTTCAGGTTCCTGGATTCATTACTAACCTCACTCAACTGATCATCACTTTGCTGCTGGAAGTTGGAAGATTTTGGTCTACGTCTGCCACCTGGGGAGGTTGAATCGGTCACGGGCTTATTGGGATGCCTCCTTGTTCTGTTCAAATCAGAAGGAGGCATAGGAGGCTTGGACCTCTTTTCTAATTCCTGTCTCTTCTGCTGCATTCTAGGGCTGATGGAACCGGAGTTCTTCTGCGAACCTTGGATCCCCTCTTTTGACTGTGGAGACCTTACTGATGTTTGTGGAGATTTCGCAACTCTATTGTTGTTGATCTTCACATCCTTGGTATTACTTGTAGAATGGTCGCTGCCCCCGGATTTATGAATCTGATGGTCCCTAGCCGTTTTATTATTGTTAGCGGCACTCTTTCTGCTGTCAACAATAAAGTTGGCACCTTGAATTTTATTACTGTTAGCAGTACTCTTTCTGCTGTCGACAATAAAGTTGGCACCTTGAATTTTCGGGAGACTGGACAAGTTATCCATTGAAATCACTGAAGAAGAAGGAATGCCAGATTTTTCAACAAGTTTTGCCGGCTTCATTATCACGATCGGAGATTCAAAGTTCCTTGTGAAGTTGGAATTGTCAGCACCCTTCTTTGTAGAGGTGGAAGAAACCATATCACCGTGCTGCTGCTTTCGCTGATTTCCTGATCTTGCATTCGAAATAGAATTACCAAAGCTTTGTTCCTGGCTATCGGGGGTTTCAAGCAGTCCTTTTGCCTGCATTGCTTCAAGGATCTGTTTAAGGGCTCTGAGATCCTTTCCAGATTGCGAAAATTCAAGATCTTTTAACCTCTTTTCGATCTCGCTGTAAACCGAAGGAAAGCTATTATTAGTCGCCTTAACTGGAACTTTCGTACCTGCCCTGGAAGAAGCAGCCTTCTGAGAACTCCGGTTTCCATCTGGTTGCTGCTTCCATGGCGCCGGTTCCATGGGAAATCTTGAAATGGGCTTCATACTTGAATCAGGGTTCCTCCAACGTGGTGATTTTGGTTCCTTCCACAAGTTTTTTGAGAAGTTATTGGACATTTGCATTGGTCTGTAGAGGTTATGATTGGATTCCTCAGCTGGGCTGTCTCTGGAATTCATTTTCACTTCAGAGGATGATGATACAGAATCTGGTATAGCATCCAAGCCCATCAGCTTTGCAACAACACTTGGAGGCCGGGAGACCTGAGTTCCCGTCTTTTGCTGTTCACTAGAAAAAGGTTTTGGAAAGCTGCCATTTTCTTTTTGAGAAAGTTTTAGAAATAGATCAGGTTGTGATGAGTTCTCAGAGCTAAAACTGCGCATCGAACTCTCCCTGCTATCTAAAGAAAGTCTTGGAAGCTCCTTAAACTTAAGGGATGAGGATATAGAACTGTCCCGTGATGATGCAAAAGATCCTGCATTAGCATTATTCCTCATCTCCCGGCCATCATAAGAAAGACGAGGAGGAGCTGTCTCTCTGCCGAGTGAATAAAAGGATCCGTCTTTCGAATGATAGGATGACGACCTTGTGAGTTCTCTTGGCTCATTGTTGCCATACCACGGCGCTTCTCTGAGTTTAGCAAGAACTTTCAGTGATTCCTTGAGATCAACCGGAAAGTCTTGCTGCTTTCCATAAGAGTCATCACCTGATCTAGAGAACTGGACAGGCCTGGGAGATGTTTCATCTCGGCCTGTTGCATTCTTAGCAGGCAATCCATGATGGGCTAAGTCTCTGTACATCGAGTCCTTGACTACATCCCGGAGATCAAGGGTTTGCCGGCTACCAAGCTGTGTAGATCCATTGTTAGGTAGTTGGCTCATTGCTGGATGCTCCCTTGAAGGAGTGTCCGGGAATATTATCCGGTCCAAGGACAAGCTCTCAGGTTGTGCAGGCTTGTTGTAGTCAAGAGACGAGAATGAAGAAGAGCGAGAGGAGGATGAAAATGAGGTTCTTGATGACTGATCCGTTGAAAGCCTCTGTCTCTCGTGTGCATACTTGGTTGTTGACTGCTTTTCCTGCATAATGCAATCGCAATATGACTCAAACTTTGCCCTCCCTTTAGGCAAAAGAAATAAAGACTATACGAAAGCTATGGATTCCAGTTACAGAAATGCTTTTTAGGTTCTCATATTGAGCCCCTCTGGCAGCTTTTAAAGCTACGAGAAGACCAATAAACAAATAACAGATGATTCTTACCCCGGAGGCTGCAGATCTGTTGTAGATATTGCTAGAGTCCTTGTCCAATGCAGCAGCACCTGGAAAATCATTTGGCAATTTTAAAATATATGGTGTGCTCTATTCGAAGGAAGGGAATGTTTAAGTTGATCTCCATAACCATTTCAAAAAACAGACTATGTCCCGATCAATATAAAAAGCTCAAAACTATTTTGCCACAATATGAAGCAAAGCATGGATCTCATATCTGCAAAGAGCCAAAGAATGTAACCCCATCCAGCTAGAAAGAAAGTTTGATTAAGACATGTAAACAACTAAACTCTTGAATACCTTTGTATAGAAATGATCTTATTCTTGAACAATTGAATTGATCAAAGGCACTAGGTGATTAAGCAGTAAACTAAATAAAGGAATGCAGCTAAAAAGATGGGAGTAAAAAAAAAAAAGAATGCCAGAAAATTTCAAATTACAAATGATCAGTAGAATGAAACAGACCCGAAAAGGTTCAAATCAGTGCATTCATTAGAACCAGCTACTGATTAACTAGTACATTTATTTATTAAGTAATGCAGCTAACAATATAGGAGATACAGTGAAACGGGTCTAAACTTACTTTACCACAAAGAATGAATCAATATCCTAAGTGAAAAAACAAGGAGGAGCTCCAAAAATATTACCAGGAGGGGGCCTTTTCGCGGTGCTGATGGGGCCGGTGGTGATGCGCCTAGGAGTAATGATGTGCTGACGATCAAAGAGCTGAAAAATCCCAGTCATACATCCTATTTGCTTTTGCAAATCAGGGTTGTCATCAGTCAGTGATTGTAAAAGTTTTGTTGCCATTCTTCTCTTATCAACTTTCTGCAAATCACACAAATATAAAGCAGCAGCAGAACCAGAAATCTTCTTTTAAGTCTCTATATCCATTATTCATTCATCGTCTTCAACAAAATTCAGTGATTTGATGGCACACAATTGGGCAGGAGAACTATCACAATCAGTGGAATTCACTCCTTAAAAACAGTAAGAAATCAATGTATACAGCTATAAACTCCTTCCTTCCCTTCAATCAGACACCAGCTAAGCTGCTCAAGCACAAATGAAGAAATCTAACAACAAATTCTTCAAAATCTAAAGTATTGATATAATCCTCATACTCCAGAAGCTTAGATGAATACTCAATCTCACTTGTGCTTAACAAAGCATTCTCAAAGCCCCATTTTGTAAACAGCAACTCATATCAAATCAATCAGTCATCATTTCTGAAATCAACCAAATACCAGGTCTGCACCATTTACCCCAGCAATCAATCAAATCCAAGATTCCTCTTTTTTCCAACAATGGTTCTACCAATGATGGGATATCTGATGAAGCAAAAGCAGCCAAGGAAGCAAAATCAATTCTTTTTCAGTAAATTAGATGAAGCAAGCTCAGGCTAGAAAAAAGGGGCAGACCCAAATTCATTCACCAGAATTTCTGCAAACCAAATTCTGAGATTCCTCAAGCTCAGCTGCACCATTGACTTCAGTTGCCAAGAGAAGACCAAATTTGGCAAAATCAAAATGCACCCTCAAAACATTCCAAAACAGAAACTTTCTAAAACAAACATAAGCTAAACTACTAAAAATTTCATGTTGCAGTAGTACATTCCCGGTTTTCCCACTATTCCATACAAGACAAGGTACTGATTAATGAGCCCTTTAAGGCTTTAATGTCAAAGGCAGCGATGTTTAGTACTAACAAACAAGTTTCTAACCAATCTGAGAGTGGGAATAGCTGGCTTAAACTATGGGATGACTAAAAAAGAGTTTTTCTCCCTAGTGTGGAAATGTCAGAATGTATGTCACTGTGTGTGTGCGTGTTTTTTTTTTTTTTCTTTTTCCTTTGTATTATCCTCCCAAGGAGGTCAAGGGGATGGGATGGAGGAAGGGAAACCTCTGCTCTGCTAGGTAGCCATTGTGTTCTTTTTCACACAACTCCATGTGGGATGGGGGCAAACATGGGTTGGATTGTGGGGTCTCAAAACTATAAAACTTTGTCTGAATCAAACATGTGATTCCTGTCACCAAATGAAGGAGAGATTTCTATTTTGTTCTTTTTAGAATTTAGTAACCAAAGAGAATAACACAAGTTCTTTTTTATTATATTTTTCTAAACTGAATATACATATTTCTTTGTTACAAAAAGACCAACCTGGTTATAAGATAGTAAGTTACCTAGAATTGCAATTCCAATTTCTTCTTGTAAATATGGCGCTGCTTTGATGATTATAAAAAGGAAGAAGAGCAACAAAATTGAGGTTGTAAAATGACCAACAATATCACCTAATGATTTAACCAATGATTACAAGTTCCTCAATGACCTCATTAGATTTGGTAAAAAGGAAAAGAGGATATCCAAAACCATGAAATGACAGCCAACATTATATATAATGGCTTTATGGAAACTTGGTGGACTAATTAAACAACACAATGAAAAATAAGTGAAAAGTTGTGGACAACAGGGGTACTCTGGCCTTTATGATTAATGTTTCCTTGCATTTTTGCGTGACTCTTGTTTGTGTAGAATTAGGCTTAAATGTGGAGTGGCTCTTATCAACCAATTCATCAATAATAGTAGTACCATTTTATATACTCCCTCCACGTCCTTAATATAATGCATTTTGATTCATCATATGTTTCATCAAGTATACATTTTTAATTGTCAAAAAAATCTTTAAAATATATCCTAACAATCAAGGGTAAACAACAACTGCGAAAATATATTTTTAAAATTTTTTCGTCAATTAAAAATACTTACTAGATGAAATCTAAGCCAAATCAAAGTGCCTTGTATTAAGGACCATAGGGAGTACTTTTCAAAAATATTTAAATGAATTTTATTGTCATATGTACAAATTCAATAAACTTTTGCTTTTCTAAGTTAAGGAAAACAATATCTGGTTCTGGGCAAAGAAATATTGAGAAAAGCATTAAGGAATTTTTTTTTTAAAATCCTTGATGGAATTTAGTTATTTGTTCAACATTGTTTGCCATAGTTTTCTTTAGAAAATCTCTGGCCCTTTTCCCAATTGTTGAAGTGATACACTACAACCACATTAAACTACCTGGATTATTTATTTTCTTCATTTCATTTTTTTTTTTGTTTTCCCTGTATTTTTCTTTTTATGGCAAAGTAGAAAGAATTCACATGATGCAATATATTAAAGTATAGGAAGCTAGCTTAGCTAACTAGGAATCACCATAACTTTTGCTAACTTTTTATTTTCTTGTTTCTTGTGAAAAGTCACATGACAAAAAGATCAAAACCATTCTTTTTTCTTATACCTATATGACTTTTGCCCTTTTTAAAAAAAAAATAATTATTTTATTTTCATTCATTGTATTGCCAATATTTCCTTTCCCTCTTATAACGTTACTCTTGTAAGATTTATATATAACGTACATTTGTTATTCGGAACCTCTTATTAGTTCGATTAATCTAGATTCAAACCTAATACTCCCTCCGGTCCTTAATATAAGACATTTTGATTTGTCTTATGTTTCACTTAGTACGTATTTTTAATTAACAAAAAAATTTTAAAAATATATTTTCACATTTCTTTTGTTCTCTTAATTGTTATGAAATATTTTTACTATTTTTTTGTCAGTTAAAAAGCATACTAAATAAAATATAGGAAAAGTCAAATGCCTTATAATAAGGACTTGGGGGAGCAGTTTCTTTTTGAGATTGATTTCTCTCCATCAATATGACCTTTTATTTTTCTTTTAATTTAGTGGGTAATAAGCCCACCTCCCCCAAGTGACCATTGTTCTTGTGGGATAGTAGTATGTGGCCTATGTAGGCCATTTCTTTTTTCAATTGAGTTTAGACCTGGTGCATTAAATTAGGACATTCTTTGCTTAACACCCCGCCCCCCCTATTATTATTCCTTAAAAAAGGAATTATTTCCACTAATCTAATTTGTACCTTGTAGTTTATCTATTCTTTGTGGTTTGAATAAGCCATTTCCTAATTGGTTAGCATCAAACCATATATAATATCCAAATTCCTTATTAGTTCACTTTCATAAACAAATTTTTTAAACAGGACCTCTTCTTTTATTTATTATTTTCTTACCACAACATTATAGTTATATTACCTGCGTCCTAATAAAATAGTTCACATTGAGTTTTCAAATATGTATTAAAAACAGTATAAAATTCAAAACTCGTGGATTATTTTTATACGACGGAGGAGTATAATATTTGGTGTTTTCTTGAGTCACCAAAATCTTCAACTTTTGAGCTCGCTATTTCCACCTTTTTTGCCCCATCAACTTTACGTGATAGTTCCTCTTCCTAATGTTTTGTTCTCTTGTTAAGAAGAAACAAGATTATTATAAATTTTTTAATTTCAGTGGGAGACAATCTACCCATTTTAGTTGGGCAATTTTGGAGCCTTTTGAGGGCTATTAAAATTAAAAATTGCATGTAAAATATTCACTTTGTTTTGGAAAAAAAATTATATTATGTTTTGAAATTCAAAAAATTTACAAATATCAAAACTCCATGTAAACTATTTATTTTAGAATAAAGAGTAATATTGTTATTCCTTAATATACCTACCCTCATCATTGGTTCATTTACATGGGAAAAAAAAAAATTAAGGGTAACACCCTGCATGCATGGGCTTTATGAACATGCAAGCAAGAAGATATGTACAAAGGACGCAAAAAATATTGGGGGGAAAAAAAAGGAGAGAGATCTAATGGTAGTATTATATTATAGTTAGATAAAGTATTGTAAGATGATTGATGGATATCAGAATATGTCATATGTAAAGAGACATAAAGATAAGCAAAAAAAGATTTGTTTCATTTTCTTTTATTTCTTTTTTACTCAAATCATAGGGAAAGTGTTTTTTTTTTTTTTTATTTCTTTTTCTAGTTTGATTAAGAGAGAAAAATCAGTGAATAAATAAGTTGGATAATGACCATATCACATGCAAAAAGGCAATGGAAAGGGTTGCACATGTGGGGTGGGGAGTTGGATTTAGATTGGATGGATCAAGTAGTGATTTTTGTGTACTATATACTACAGCATTCTTCTTCTTCTTCTTCTGTGTGTGTGTGTGTGTGTGTTTCCCTTTTGAATTGGGCAAAAACAAAACAAATACTAACAACTAACCATCTCAATCATCTTAGCCCATGTTCAAAGTAAACCCTCTCCCTTTTGCTTCATTTCAACATCAACTCCCACCCTTCCACATCCCCACATCCCACCAAAAAAAAAAAAATCCATGTATATAGAAAGCTACAAAGTAAATTGGGGACATCATGAATTAATGATTGTTGTGTGATTATTGCCTCTCAATTAGTACGCGATATTTCTTCTGTTCTGAAATGATTATTGTGTACCGTCTTACTTTGAAACGAGGGAGGACCCAAATGGAATTGAGTGATGAAGACTGTGGAAAAGAACTGAGGCAGCCCCGGGAATTAATTTAATAGAGGCCATATTTAATTTAATGGAAATCATTCTTCTACAACCTTATTTCCATTGTTTTTTGTGGTCGATGATCCTTTATTTTAATGCCAATGGACAATTTCTCATTTAATTTTGTTGGTGGTGGCAAATACATTAATCATGGTTACCCAACACAAAATAAAAACATTGGTTGTGCAATTCAATGAGAAATTGAGAAATGAAGGTTTGGTGTTTCCAAAAATTTCAAATCTACCCACATTGTTTATGAGATAGACAGCTAACTTTGGGACTCAAAAAGGAACATAGTCCTAAGGTTTTCTTTGCCCATACTGAACTGATCCATCAACAGAAACCATACTTATGGTTCAAGAAATT